CACACACACACAAACACACACACACAAACACACAAACACTCACACTTACACACACACACACATGCGCACGCGCGCACGCACGCACACGCGCACACATACTCACACTCACACGCTAACACACACTTACACATTCCCCGCCACACAAACAAAAACGCACACACATGCAGGTGAAGGATGCGCTGGTGGGTGAGCGGCGGCGGCTGATGGCGGCGCTTGCGGATGTGCCCTACCTGGAGCCCTACCCCAGCCACGCCAACTTCATCCTGTGCAAGGTGCAGGGCCGCGACGCCAAGGGCGTGAAGGACGCCCTCGCAAACAAGGTAGGGGGCTGAGGGCGCCTGATGCTGCTGGAGAGGGGGCATTGGGCACATGGGCGTGCACGTGGATGTTTGAACGGGAGGGTGTTGAGTGGGTGTCGAGTCACTGGTAGGATGTGGGAATAATGGGAGACGTCTTGCCTGCTCGTCGCACACATGGGGGTCGCCCTCAAACCTGGTCGCCCTCAAACCTGGGGCTTGTGAACTTGCTGGAAGCACTCAATCTCCTCAGCCACCCCGCACCCTCCCTTCCCCCAAAAAAAAACGCACCCCAGGGCATCATGGTGCGCCACTACGCCAAGAAGGAGCTCAGCGGCTTCATCCGCATCAGCGTGGGCAAGCCCGAGCACACGGACGCGCTCCTGGAGGCCCTCCACAGCATCTGAGCAGCGCGGGCGCCGCCCAGCGGCGCGAGGGCTCAGCCCCAGTCGGCGCGCCAGCCGGCTGGGCCCGCCTTCTGTTGCACCCCTGACTGACCTTGACGTCTTCCCACAGCCTGCACCATGTACAATTGGTGAACAGCTCTGCATCCTTGGGTCCCGGTCGTATGTTTTGACGGCCCCTCAGCCCTGGATGTAAATTGCCCCTGCTGGTGGATGGCCTATTGATGTCAGAGCGAGATCAGCTCTGCTGCAGATCACCATTACACGGGCAAGGCACGAAGCTAGTACTGCAGCGCTGCGGACAGCCATGGGACAGGTATTTGCAATGTGGAAGTGGCTGGGGTGAAGTTGGCAAAAGGCGGAGCGCTGCCCAGAAAGCGATGCGCGTCGCAACGAAGAAAGGGCAATCGTGGGCGGCAAGGATAGCCTGCATGCGTGCCTACAATGCAGAGTGGCGGGGCGGAAGCGCGTATTTCAGCGCTGCGGCAGCACGTTTTCCTGGTTCAAGGAACCCTGTATTAAGCAAGGCAATCAATCCTACGCACTACCCGCAACAAGTACCACCCCAGCAGTTGCTTGGAAGTGGCCACGTGCATGCTGTGGCCCGCCTGCATATCAACACAGAGCGCGAGCCAACTGCCAGGCCAGCGCCAAGCACAGTAGGTGCATGAAGAGATTCACAGGCGGCGCGGTGGCGCCGCTGCTCGCGTCGGGCGTTCGTGGTTCGGGGCAGTCAAGGTTTGTGCTGGCGCAGTCGTGCCAGCAAAAGTCCAGCTTCACTCTCTGCGAGCGTTCGTACGTGGCAATCCAGGGTGTTGGACTGATGACACAGCACAAGCAAGTTGTGATGAGGGACCGATGCTGGGGGTGCTCGGCTGCACGTGGGGTTGACGATTGCAGGCCGCGAAAAGTTATTCAGGCAGTCCTCTACTGCAACCAAGCTAGATCAACCAACCGGCAGCAACAAACACGGCCCCGCCAACACCGCGGTCAAATCGTGATGCACAACAGTCGGCGCAGCCGGGCGGTGGGCATCCACCCCGTTGGTGTGCGCACCTTGAAGATGCTCCTGATGGGGGGACCGTTGGGATTCTCGCTTCGACAAGCGGCCTTGAACGCCTCTGGTTCGTACTCAATGTTCCAAACCGGCTTGCCCGCTGTAAAGGGGCGGCGCAGGGCGTGATAGGCGCAGGGCCGGGGCATGGTATCACGGTAGGCTTGAAATGACGGCCAGGGGCTGTAGCAGGCGTGCGGATAGAAAGAGGGAATGCGAGTGCAACACCCCACGCACTGCGACGCGTCATACGACGCGTGCGCCACGAGCCACGCGTGCGTCACGAGCCCAGGTCTCCGCGTTCAGCCCCTCACCGGCAATCGCGGGGGCGTACAGCTGACACTCGTTGTACACATGGCATTGCCTGCATTTGCGTGTTTGAGGGTGCGGGAGCACAGCGATGCAGTCAGGCCCAGCTCATCGCTGCATTTCGCAGGCAGCGACACCTCTACCAATCAGCCTGCTCAGCGTCCCGGTGGCGACACCAGTGCTGGTGCCACGACGGGTCCGGTCAATAACAGCCCGCCCCCGCTCACTCGTTCACAAAGAAGTCGAAAAGCGGCGCCAGCTGCGCCATCTGGTTCAGGTTGTTCTTGAGCCCCATGCCCAGCCCCAGCTCGTGGGCGGTGGCGGCCAGCCAGGTGTTGTAGTCCAGCTGGTCCTCTGCCGTGAGGCCAAGGCCGTTGGCGTTGGAGTATGCGTCGACATTGTCGGCGTCGACGGCCAGGAAGCCCTTATCGCGGCACATCTCCATGCGCTGGAGCCGAGTGTGTGCGTGTGCGTGTGTGCGTGTGTGTGTGTGTGTGTGTGCGC